TATACAGGCTAGACTTCCAGCCACTGACTTAGAAATTTTAGGAGTCATTAATTCTCTTGAAGCATTTTCATTATTTTTACATAATGAAATATTTACTATTAGAACAGATTGTCAAAATATTGTTTCTCATTACAATAAAATTACTACTAATAAACAAGCAGCCCGAAGATGGGTGAATTTTGTTGATTCTATTACAGGAAATGGATTTAGGCCAATATTTGAGCATATTAAAGGTATGGATAATGCATTAGCAGATATTTTATCTCGTATTATTCATTAAACAGGTATGCAGTATTTTGGACCATCATCATCTGGCAGCAAAAATAATGGTATACCATCACCTGGTGGTAATCCATTAAGCATAAGTAATCAAGCACGATCAGTAGCAAATACTTATTTTTATAATGGAATATCAGTACAAGAAGTTAGAAATCCTTCTTTAAAGTATCGTACTCAAGCATCATTAGCAGAAAAACAAAAGTTCTTTTAGATAACTTTTGGAATATTAGAACTAATACTGAAAGCATGAGAAGAGGGCATGAAAAGCTTATTAGAGCCCTTGAGCAAGAGTTTTTAGCATATAATTATGATTATAAAATAGCAAAACAACACCTTTCTTTTTTGCAGGAAAAATATACAGAGCAAAAAGGGGAATATGATACAATAGTTAGGCATTTTAGAACTATTAATTTAAGATGTCAAATTCTACAAGAAGAGGCTAATAAGCCCACCGTAATTGAGCATAATTTACAAGAAAAAGAGGCTAATAAGCCCAACTTACTTGAGCATAATAGTGAATTTTCTCTTGAGCAAAAATCTAAAAATCCCTATTTTCTTCAAACTCTAGCTAGAGAAAGGTATAAGTTTTTACCAGTAGATGTTAAGAGTCACATAATTAAATTAGAATATAAGCAAAACACATCTCTTCAACTGTACATTCAATCTTTTCTTTTCAATTTAAAAAGTAATCTACATCCTTGCATCACCATTATTACCAAAAACTGTTCCCATTACACTATTTACTTAGCAAGGATTAACATGATTGAATATAGAGAATTGCATTTAGAGCATAAACAAAAAACAATCATAGTTACTCTAGCATTTTTAGCAAAATTTGGTTATCTAGATCAACTTTATGTTGAAAGTAGTAAGCATTTAGATTCATTCCCCGAAAAATTTAGAGAAATTATAAGTTTTTATCTGCCTCTCTGGAAAAATGTAAAATTAGATTTCACTAGTATACCCCCAGAGTGGTTTAAAGATAGCATTTACCCAGATTTAGCACAACATAGGATTATTATTTCTTTTGATGAATTACTTAGTCCGGGAGAATCAGCACAAACAGGAATGCCTACCAAACAAGACATCCAACAATACAGAGGAGCAATAATAGCCGAGCAACAGTTATTTAATGATGATTGTCTGACCCTCCTGTATCAGTCTAAATTTATCAAGGTGTATTCAGAATCCACATCCAGGAGACCAGATGATATATATGAATACAGGATCAGCACTACAGGAGCAAAAGTTTTTGATGAAATCTACAATCAGATAGCAGAACAAATTACAGCAGAAGATAATGACAACTCATACTGGAATAGCTTAGGAGAAGAAGAGCTACACAACATAGATAACATGATGGATGCATGAAGACCACGTGAAAAATCCATCCAGCAGAATAGTCGCCAAACTATTTGGCTCCATATGGCCAATACAAAGCAACATATGAAAAGAAGAAACATTTTGGTTTCATCTGGCTAGCAGAAGCAGAAGGATTCCCTAGGAAATCTAGATATGAATAGGGGCATTATTGTCCAACCACTTTAATTTTGTCCTTCTTTATAAATACTGTACTCATTTTGGGTTTATTTATAAGTCGCCCTTCTTTTTTTTCATTGGGGCCAAGCGTACAATGCGTGTCTGATGGGTTGGTTTTTTTCTTTTTACTAGTATAAATTTGACCAAGATAAGGATTATTTTAGTCTATGCGGAAGTATTGATATATCATATTTTAGGTTTTTTTGGATTTTTGGAGTTATGTGAAACCAATTTGCGACATAAGGGGGTGTTATGTAATTTTTAGGACCTCGAGGAATTTTGTGAAAACACGAAAATCCTCAAGAGGTGTTACGTTAAATAAATCCCCAAATTTTCACCTATTCGTTTAAATTATGTGGTACTTTGACCATATACCACGGTGACAAAAATTTTGAAATTTAGTAGCCCATTGTTCAGAGGCTACAGTACGGCTCATGATGTACGGCTCGTGACACGAGCGCATATGCGCAAACTGATATCTAATCGAACTTGAGGCTCAAATTCAATTACCCAAATTGTCTATTTGTTAGAATCTCATAAAACATCATCCTAACGAAAAAATAACAATCAAATTGGAAATTATCTAATTATTTAGTTATAGTCAAATAAATAAACACAATTATGAAAAGTTGAAGAAAAAAAAATTTGGATCATAATCAAGAACTAAGTCTGTGATGAAAGAGAGGAGGATATGGTTGTAAGCTTTTAGATAGAGAAGTTTCTATTCTCTTTGTTTTTTTTCTTTAGGGGGTACCCAAGGATGGGTTAGATATCATCATAAAGGTTGACCTTTCTTTTTATCAATTTGATAATATCTGTTAAATTCAGAGAGACGGGTCATCGACCCACTACTAACAACACCAATATTGTCCCAAACTTAACCACCTACAAAGCCCAGTAGGTGTGGGGTTTTATCACCAAAGGCCTCGGTGATATTAGTAGTGAAACCATTCATTATATATTTTATGTTATTTAATTAAGTTTCCGATGTGGGACTCATTCTTAAACACGCCCCCTCACGTGGGACCACCACATAGCAAGCCACACGTGGAGCCAAGTCCACATCGGAGTCAAACATTCAAGCCTAACACGTGAGCACTAGGTATTGGGTAAAGGGTAAGAGTAAACATTCAAGCCCAACATGTGAATACCACATATTGGGTAAGGGTAAAGGCCCAATTCAGACCCAGTCAATCAACCCGCTTTGATACCATGTTAAATTCAAAAAGATGGGTCATCGCCACTACTAGCAACACCGATATTGTCCCAAACTTAACTACCTACAAAGCCCAGTAGGTATGAGGTTTTTACACAAAAGGCCTCGGTTATATTATTAGTGGAACCATTTATTATATATTTTATTTTATTTAATTAAGTTTCCGATGTGGGACTTATTCTTCAACAATATCATCATTAAACCAGGGCGAGAAATGAATACTAGAACAAAAGCACAAGTCTGAAAGACAAAGGAGCAATAAAAAACCAAAACGATGTGAAAGCAAGCAGAAGGCCACAGTGTTTCAGAGTATTGATCTTATTATTGATGAGGACAAAATATCTTAAGTTATTCGAGTCATGCATGTTTGATTTTATGCTTTTTATCACAAAATGTCCATGACGTTTGCGAAACTATCAGATTGCATTCTTAAAGTTTTTTTTGTATCATTCATGGTCCCTAACGTTAATACAGATGCTCTTAAATAGTCAATCTATCAAAAAAACTGTTAAATCCAGGAATATAATCGTCAAATCAATCCAAAATTATAAATATATATTTTATAATTTCCTTGTCAAATACAACTTTGCATCACATCCGCATCGTACTGATTTTCTCTCCCTGTGATTCTCCACGTTGGCCTTTTTTCTTGGTTGATTAAATCCTGACCGATAATAAACAAGAGATTTTCTATTTAAACCCCACACTTCTTTTAGTTCACCCTATGTTCTAAGTTCACCCCAACTTTTAATTTAAATTTTCATAATTTCTAAGTAAACCCCATTATCTTCCCAAACTACCCTTAAATACACCCCAAGCTGAAAAAATAAGAAATAAAAGAGATTTTCTATTTAAACCCCACAAGCTACCTTTAGAGGAGAAAATACGTTCTGAGCATGAGAAATAGTAAGTATTAAATTAATTTTTTGATGATATTTCAGAGTCTTATTCATTGTCTGTTTTCAAGTGCATAAACATACAATTTAACTCTTAAGTCCGCAAGCTTAGCCCATTCATGTTTACACTGAAAAACTTCACGTGGCTTGTTTAACATTTGAATAATTGTCCTTAAAGAATTCCTTCAAGTTTCAAACTGATATAAATTGTTGTTGCTTCCTATTCTTCCTTGAGTTTTGCAGTGCATTGGTTCGTTGTGGCAGCATGTTAGTGGGGATGGTAAAATACATGGTAAACTCTATACTCCATCATATTCCATTTACTACTCTGAAAACAGCTGGTGCATCACGAATAATTGGCATTGATATTGATAGCAAAAAGTTTGATACAGGTACATATTAGGTTCTACCATATCAAAACTTTACCATAGTAAACAGTGTTTTATAATTGATTGTTTTCGCCTCTGGTTATCCATGCTTTGGAACAAAGTTGTTGTCACCTGATGGGTGAAGGAAAAGTTAACTTGTAGTTTTGAGGGAATAAGGAATGAAGGGTATTAGGAAACTAATTCCAGTGGAAATGGGTAGTCAGAATAGGTGACAGGTCACATTCACAGTCCTCAAAGACATTGTGTATCATGATAAATTTTGGATTCATCCAAATAATTTCGAAGTACCTGTAATTCATTTTCTTCCGTTATTTAACTTATCATAAAACACAGAACAATGCCTATCAAAGGATCTTCAGCTTATGTATATTAGTAATGTCTTCTCTTGAATTCATTTAGGAAGGTTTTCATGCATTTTAAAGTTTACACTCTTGCAATTTTTTATTTGCAGCAAAAAAACATTGGAGTTACTGAATTTGTGAACCCAAAGGACCACGAGAAGCCAATCCAATAGGTCCTTGTTGACCTCACTGATGGTGGCGTTGACTACAGTTTTGAGCCAAGTAATGTGCAATTATCAATGATAGGCGCACCCGAATATAGAGTTCAAAATACATGGTAAATGACTATTCGTGTGGGGTTTAAATAGAAAAAATCATAAACAAAATCTCGTCTATATATTCATAAGTTTTGGCTTTCGGTCGAGCGTGCTTTTCTAATTGAAAACCCGTTCTTCCGGGCAAAATTGCTGTAGTATTCAAAAGCATCATCATCAGTTTTGAAAATTTGACCAACATAAGGAATGAAGACAGCTTCTGATGATGACGAAGATGGAGTTGTCTCACTCTTTACATGCTGAGAACTTACTGAGTCCAGATCATCTCCTTCATACTGAATGTAACACTTCCAATCTCCACACGGGCACTGTTGGCGTCGAATCCATATGCTATTTGATTGCTTCATTGCCATTTTTTAGGAAACACAAGAAGCGTTCCAGCTTATGTAGCCTTCAGCAAACAACACAAAAAAAAGAAAAAAAAAAAAAAAAAAAAAAAAAAAAAAAAAAACAAATTTATTAATAATAAATACAAATATTTTCAGCAACTCAGTCATATACATAGAAAAAAGAAGGCAAAAATATGTCCTTATAATGCATTACGCAGTTCAAGTCCGAAAAAAGCAAATAAAAAAAATAGGGAAATTTGCATAAATACCACTTGAACTTTCAGGTATGTGCGTCATTACCACCTGAACTTTTAATTTTTATTTTTAACCACCTGAACTTTGTAAAGTGTTGTAATTCACCACCTACATCTAACTCCATTAAAATTTCTGTTAAATTTAAGGATATTTTCGTCAATTAACTATAATAAAGAATAATTGTATAAAAAAACAGATTTAAAAATATTAAAAAAAGTTGACCCAAAAAACCCACCGTACTCCTACTCCAACTTTTCCAACTTTTCCAATGGCAATTCGCTCACTGCAAAAAAACACCCACCCTCCCAAAACCCACCCTCTGCACACACCATACTCTATATTCATCTTTGTCTCTTGGCATGTCTTGCGTGGGTTGTTGAAATTGAGTAGCAAACTGAGGTATAAACCGACTTTCTTTCTCATTCTCCATTGCTGATTGAGCTGTTTCTCTTAGTCACAATTTTTCTGTTTTTGATTTTATGATGAAAGATTTGGGTAGCTTTGATATAGTCTGACTTGGGTGATCTATTTCGGATGTGGGCGAGTTCGATTTAGGGTTACCGAGAAATTTTTCCCGGTTTATAATTTTGTTTGATCTTGGCATCTCGTTGTTTTTCCAGTTTTGGGTTGGATCAAGTTCGTTAAACGATTGCTTCAACAAATTTTATTTATAAATTCAGAGGGCCTGTTTATGTTTCTAAGAAAGTGTAGATTTTGCAGCTTTTTGAGCAGCTGAAAACAAAGAAAACGGGATGGTCCTGTAGCAAAGCAACACTGGGGCTCCTTCATACAGCAGCTTCTAGCTCGCTACTTTTGTTTCTGAATTCTGTTGGTGAGTGTCCTTTTTCTTTTAATTAATTTTGGTTCTCCATGCTGTGAACGTTTGTCCTTTGGCTTATATGGTATTTCTGTTATTTATCAAGTGTGTAATTTGTTCAATTTCTTGTTGGTAGAATGCTTTGAGGAAACAAGTGAATCCCAAAATGCTGCAACCCCAAATTGTACAATCCCCAGCTAGGTTAGGCCTTACAAACCCCACTTCACCCTCTCTTCAAAACCCTACCCCTCCGAAACTCCCTTCACAGCAACCCAGTCTCTCCCCAACCCTTCTCTCTCTCCTCGCACCCCTCCCTAGAGCCCAATCCCTTCTCGTCCAAATGGCCTCCCTTGCCTCTAAACTCTTTGAAGTCTCGCCGAATCGATCCCTTTGGCTCAATGCATTCCGTGGGTCCTTCCCGACCTTTCTTTCTTCCCAATCCCAATCTCTGCCCTCAACCGCACCTGACTCTTCTCCTTCCTCCACCAAAGAGATCCTGTCCCAGTTCACTGCCCTTCAAACCCAACTCTTTGAGGCTGTTGCTGAACTCCAAGAAATTCTTGATCTTCAGGACGCTAAGCTGAAAATTGCACGTGAAGTGCGGTCCAAGGATGCTGCACTTCTTTCTTTTTCCAAGAAACTCAAGGATGTCGAGCAGGTTCTTGATAATCTTGTTGATGATTACTCTGATTTTAGCCGCCCCAAAAGGACAAAACAGGAGGATGGTGCAGAAGATGATTCTTCATGCACCACCACTACTGTTGCATCTCAGTTGAATTTATCAGATATTTTATCATATGCCCACCGGATAAGCTACACAACCTTTGCACCACCAGAATTTGGGGCTGGACAAGCTCCTCTTCGTGGGGCACTCCCGCCTGCCCCACAGGATGAGCAAATGCGTGCTTCTCAGCTATACAATTTTGCAAACCTTGATGTTGGTTTACCTAAGACAGTCGAGAGGGAGGAGGAAACAATGCACACAATATTAGAGGCCCCGTGTCCTGAGCCAACAGAAGCCAATCAACTTCCCAAGCTGGGTGCACTCCAGGGTCTACTTCCTCCAAATATCACGGTTCCGTCAGGTTGGATACCGGGGATGCCTGTGGAGTTGCCAAGCGATGTACCTGTGCCCCCACCTGGATGGAAGCCTGGGGACCCAGTGCCTTTGCCCCCACTTGGATCTGCTCCAGCTCCCAGGGTCGAAGAGCAACATTTACGGCCAAATGCTCATCAACCATTACCTAAAGCACCAGCGACAATACAGGTTCAGCATGTTCAGCTGGATATTCTGGACCAAGACGAGGATAGTAGTGATTATACTAGCGATGATGCAAGCTCAGAAGACGAGGATTGACAGTCAGCTATGGTAGTGCAGAGAATTTTACATGATTCCCTTTCTGTCTTGATGTATATGCAGCAACTTTCTAGTATCTACTTGCATTTCCTTTGAATCTCAATGCGGGCATTTCCTTCTCATTTCTAAGTTGGTGAATTTTGTTTGGCTTTACTTTTCAACAAGTTGATTGGTAAATCTAATTGTGCATTGGCAATCTTTAAACTTGAAGGAGCGAAAGCAGCACATTTTCTGATGGTAGAAATGTCATAAGCTTTTACAAATACCATTAAGCATATGATTTCTACATGGCATGCACTCTTCTCTAGAATCCATCTTAATGAAGTATTTAAAAACACGAAGGAAAACTGGTGGATTGTGTTGGCAAATGTGTAAAATCCGATGTTTTTGCAGCACCAGATTTTTGTGCCTTAAGCTTATAACTCAAACAGCAAATCTGGTAGTCACATGAGTTGATAAGGTTTCAACAGGATTACACTTGTATAGTTTCCATGAATTTAAGTGCCTGATGGAAATAATCTTTTTATCTGGTTGCTCAAGGGAAAATTAAAGCAACGAACATGTATGTCTGAGAATTTCAGCTAAGAGCATCTTCAAGGGAGATATCAAATACCAAACATCAAATTTAAATTTGATGGTTGATGTGGCAATTTGACATTTTACACAGCTTTACACTCCACCCGATATGTCAAATTAAATTATTATTTTATTACATTTTAGTGTTGATTCATTTTTAATTAAAAAGAAAAGTAAAGAAAAAATAATAAAATATTCAGTTGACATCTTGCTTTTGGGATGTCAAAAATAACATATCAACCTCCAGCCTTCATTCCACATCAATTTTGATATATCGGTTGGAGTGATGTGAGATGTTATTTCTAGTTGTTAAATGTCTACGTGGCACGTTTGACACATCGGTTGGAGATACTTTAAGATTCACAGACAAGTTTGTGTTTGCAATAACTCAATTTCGTATATGATCCATTTGTTGTGGATGAACAAATTAGGCAAATGCTACTCTGGTTTGTCAAGGCATCTTGAAATTGTTATTTGGTGTTTGCTACTTGCTACTTCTTTCAAAATAATATTCAAACAGTCCTGAATGAATCCTAGCAAAGTTGAAAATCAAGAATAGGTTGCCATTTTAAGATACACAAAGACGCGTTTATATAACTAAAATGAAGCAACTAGAACCAATCAGGGTCCATGGCTCAGTGGTAGAGCATTTGACTGCAGATCAAGAGGTCACCGGTTCGAACCCAACGACCCTTTATAACTTATTTTTTCAAAATTTATGTTGTTTTTAGTTTAGTTGGTTTGGTTGTTTAGCCTGTGAGTTTTGAAATCTCAACACCATATTCTTGTTCTACCTTCTCTACGTCTTAAACCTTTTGGCTTTCTCCCTTAAGGAAAAAAATTTCGTTGATCTGCGTTAGTAAGAAAATAATAAATAAATAAAAATATTTTTATATTTTCATATATTTATATATATATATATATGTTTTTTTTTCTAAAAACGACCTCTAAAAGTTAGCTCATTTTAGGCCTAAAAGGAAAAAAGAGCATTCTCTATGACAGACCAAATCAACCATCCAAGATAAAATATTGCTTCATTACTGATGGATTGTATTTTGATTTCACTACAAATGCCAAGTGCCTTTCTATGAATCACATACAAAACTGGTACTACTTTACAAAGTAATTACAAGTTTACAACAGCTTTAAGTACAGACACAAATTAACATAGAAAGAATTACATGTAACAGAGGAAAACGAAGTGAGAGAGAGAGAGGGTGGGGGAGTGTGGGGTGTTGTTAAAAACTCAGCTAAAACGGTACTTAAAGATATCAGTCATTGTATAGCCTCCGCAGAATTCCAACTCTAGTGTTTTTGTTAGTTGTGTACATGATGATGATAATCTCACCGCTTGCTGGTCTTCTACTTGCCTGGAAAATGAATCCACCCGTTAAAACTGGACACCTTCACAAATTTGAGAACAATTACACGAGAATGAATTACATACATACCATTACTGAATATGTTTGACTTTAAGGGAAACCGAAGAGATGACCCCTTTACTTTTAGCACCCTGGGTTGCTTGGATTTACTTTGTTTCCCTATTCTCGCAAGATCACTGCTACTTTCTGCTGGTGAAAGAACAGTTCCTTTCTGAACCTTTTCATGATACACAGCTGGAGGTGAAAGCCTCAGTTGAGGCATGTTTTCAATCTCAACCAATCCTCGGTCTCTCTGCAAATTGGTCAACATCTCAAACTGCAACATCCAATTCCAGTTTTTCATTAGTTTTCAATGTAAGACCAGTCCACAAAATAGAAATGACAACGACAACAACAATGATAAAACAAAATGACGATTATGACAAAAATGATATGACATTGCCATACTCGAGATATTTGGTGAAGCCCATAGGTATTCTCTGATGCATTGCTTTCATGTGGGTGGACAGTTGTTCCGTGTATTTGTTGGGTTCTTGAAGAAAACCCCTTCACTAAACTCTTCTCTGGAAGGACCGATTTGTTTTTGGACCTCTCAGATTTCTTCTTAGGCATACAAACAGGGCATCCGGAGGACGAGCTACTACTTGATGTGCCATTCTCCAAAACTTCACATTGAAGATGTGTTGCATGACCGCAATTGAAAATGCGAATGTAGCTAGAAGAGTTCTTGTCAAGAAGACAATCACATATACAACATATTTGACTCCGAGGGGCATACCCATGAGAGGCCCCTTTCTTGAGTATGCTCATAGTGTAGAATGTATCATCTTCTATCAGTGACTTGGCAGTATCCTACATAACAGATGAAATTATTTAAATGCAATGAGAAGAATGAAGAGGAAGTTGACTGAACAACAATAGCAACCTTCACAAGAGAAAAGGAAAAGTCACATTTCCACTAAGTCATATGAGATATAAAGATGATATACCAGAATTCTTCTTTCGAAGCCATATGTGCTAAGCATCCCCAATATTGTGAATTTAAAATCACCAAATTCCTGGCTACCATTATCAGAAAGGAGTTTGGACATGATGGTTGGAAGGCGAACATAACCTATCATGCCCTCAACAATCTCCTTGATGAACCGAGAGAACACTTTTCTTAAGATATGAGCGCCTTTATGGAGCTTTGAGATTCTCCACTCTATAATAAAAGCCACCTCATCCTCTTCTGATTCCAATGACTCAGCTACCACTGTTTTAAGATCGTCTCCTTTAGATACTCTTCCAGCATTAAGGGAATCCGTTAAAGGCTCACAAAACCTGCATTGAAATTTAGAGGATTATTAGTCTTCAAAATATGCACGACCATGTACTTTAAGACTACAAAATGCTGAAATCGGGGAGTGTAAAATAGTCAGATAATCGTATGCAAGGAAAACTTGGTGGGAAAGAAAATTGAAAATTTGATTTTTAACTTACGAGTCCAGTAATCTAAACCAGAGTGCCTCTGATTCATCAGGATTTAAACGATGGGTGTTCCGTTGGCACAATCCAATACAGGCATGCAATATACTGTTAATGTCGCTCACCTACATGAGAAAGATTACGAATAATATATAACTATTAAGTGAATCTATAGAAACATAAAAATTAAAACTTAATCACATGCTCTGATTCAAATAATCACGGACCTCCTCCAATTTTAAAGCATTGCTGAAATGCTCAGTACGTGCAGAACCACTTGATACCAGACTTCCCACAGCAGTATCAAGCTTGATAAATTTTTCATTGAGGGTGGAAAGTGTAAGTAAAAGAGCACTGCCAACATCACCAACCCTTTCCAACAAGAATGATGCAGCATCTGTTATCCCATATTTCTGGCACAGCCGTAAACAGTGTTCCACGCGATAGCTATCAAAAGTCTCTAGGAATTTGAGAACTGAATTGCGCTCATACTGACATAACAGCTGCAAAAGCAAAAAGCAAAAAGCAAAACATTTAGAACCTGAGGTGTTATCATTGTGATTTCATCATAAGTAGTTGCTGAACATAATCAAATGGGAAGTAACACACTAAGAGGGCAATGTCATGGACAAGCTTTATGGTACAGAAACCAGGGTAGCCACGAAACACACTCGCTCAACTCTTTCAAGTCTTGTATTGAAAATTTGGCAAAATGAATATACTGACACAATAAGAACAATATTATCTCCCTAGCCAGAAGGAATAATCATTCAACTGAGCACTTGACTTGACAATATCCAGGAAAACAAATGAATCACAAAGAGAATATGATGAAACTGAGACACAGGTTCATTCAATAAAATCAAATTAGAAAGGAAATTAAAAATTAAAAAAACAAGATGTAATTGTACAAACAAAGTGCTCACCTCCAGATAAAGTTCAATCATATCATCAGTCACATTAACAGGATTGTTACGCAAAAGCTTTGGGAAATCACAGATCCTTTCCAAGTAAGCCTCAACTGCTTTTGATTGATCCTTCACCCTCACAAGATCATCTTTTCTTAAACTTGAAAAGTCGAGTGTGCCAGATAAGTGAACCTCAATCACCGTTTTTAAGTAAAGGAATAGGCTTTTTGGATGGGAACGAAGTTCAGAGAGGATATGTGAACCTTCTTCACTAGTAAAATGGTCGATAACCAAGACGAATGTGCCTTCTCTGCATAGAATAAGAAAATATTTGTGATTGAATAACTGAGAAGGAAGACCTCCACTGAAGAAAATAACCAAAATATTAATTAACATGTGAAAAAGGAAAAAGAAAAGAGAAATTCAAGATAACTAAGGGATAACCTGTTTAAGTCAAAAAGCTCTGGAATTCGAGAAATTACTTCTGATCGAAAAGCGGCGGATTCATTGTCAGTCAACTGTAATAATGTTTTGTTGATAAAGGAGAAGGCATGAATGGGTTCATCTACATCTTTCATGTAGCAATCCAGAGCAGCAAGATACTGATGCCTGCTGTTATGAATTAGGCCACAAACCTAAAAAACTCCAAGAGACCTTCTAGTGAGTAATCTCAAACTGAATGAACTGTAACAACATGATACTGACAACATCATAAGATATTGGTAAATTTACCTGGTAAAATCGTGCTTTCTCACATAGCTGTAACACATAAGATGAATCCCAATCAGTCTCAGGCACTACCTCAAGAAGACCAAGAACCTGCTTCTCTCTTTTTTTGAAGTTATGGTATCTCCAGAAACCCATGATGGAAAGTGATTCTCTGACGTCAAGTACTCCAAAATTTGAGACAGTACATGTCTCGAGACATTAGCTCTTCCACATGCAACATAGTACGCAATAAACTCAAACAGATGACCAATGTCTTTCTTTGAAGGCCACTCTACTGTTGATGCAGTCTCATCATTGCTAGGAGATCCATCTGTTTGGGAGATGCCCTTACTAACAATATGAATGAGAGTATCTACTGTATTTTGAACCATTGAATTTTGACTTTGAGCCATCGAATTATTCCCATCTGGCAGCTCCATATTTGCATCAGCTGAATCATGAGAAGAAACGTCAGGTTTTGAGATTTCATCTTCAATGAACGCACATCTCAGAACGTCTAAAGTAGCTTCAGTATCTAGCTCCAAGAGAAAATACAGGTTAAGATATTCTCCTCCTCCTGCTCTTGAATTAGGAGCATCAGAACCCTCTAACAAAAATTGCAGAAGTTCTGTTCTGAGAGATGGCAAGCGTAGAGGAGGAATTGTTCCCTGTCCTGCAAATGGAGATAATTAATGCAAACTCTCTTAATCAGATTACTTGAGTTAACATCCAGCAAGAAATGAAGCTATGCAAGTGATTCAAACATGTGTTCCAGTAGAAAAGAATGTTAGTCTTCCTTCACCACTTCATATACTGTAAGATTTATATCTCTTTTCTATGAATTACTTATTTCAAGACCCACACAGCCACTTCTAGATGGGATTATTACACAGAGGGATATACTTTGACATTCCAATTGAACAACTCCAATAAGTGAAATCCATACCCGGTGGAAAAGCAAGGCCTGAAAAACAGTACTTCAAATAAACTAGCATCCGGTAACTGTAAACAAGAACAAAATAAAATAAGAACACTTAAAAGCCTCATTGGAAAACTGACAAAATGCAGCCAAGAAGTAACATGAAATAAAGTGATACGACTCATTATATTCTTTCAGTAGGATAATAATAAAGGAGTAGGGATGATGCATGATCAAAGGAGAAGCAAACTAAAATCGCACTATAAACTACATATAAACTTTTCAAACTCAATAGAACACAAAGGAAACGTATCAAGACAATCATACCCGAGGGCAGTAGCACCTTCTTTTTTACTATTTTGCAAGACCACCAACAGTTCCTCTAAAGGTGACCTGAAATCATCCAAACCTTTATTGAAGAGATACACCAGAGCACTATACAATCCATGCTCCCTGCATAACCTAACAACCTACAAGAAAACATAATACATTATCTGTGAGTCAAGGTGAAAACTACAACAAACAAAACTAACGCAACATAAAAATAAAAAATAAAAAATTATAAGCAAAAATCTGAGAAGTACAGACCTGATTGAAATCCAAGGATGAAATATCCATGTGGAGAACACATTGTTCAACACGCTGTAACCATCCCTTGCGGCTATAATGCTCTACCAGTACTTGCATAATCTTCAGAAAAGGGAGAAGGGAAAGAACATTATTATGTATAACATAGCTGCCAATACAGCCAAAAAGCTTGAACATTATGCAATACCTCAGGTGGAAGAGAACCAAGCATGTCCTTCAATATATATGGCTCCAACAGCTCCAAAAATGTGTCTAAGAAAATTTTAAAAGAAAAATATTGGTACCATGCAATGATGGATAAAAATTATATGTGTATGTAGCTTCAAGCTATGAAACAATGCTGCAAAAAAACAGCTGACACAAGCCAAAAAGAGATACACCATTCCTAAAACTTAATTGCATTGATCTATCATACGTCAAAGTATTAATCCAGACACCCTCAAAACATGAAAGAAAGTTAACATGCGTGGTTCTGAATACTTCCAATAAAATTATTCTAAAAGAAGAAAAGTTCAAGCCTATAATGCAGGACATATGTTATTCACTTCATCCCTCTTTCAGAAAAGAATAAAAAATGCCATTCACTTCAGTATTGAGCATGACACTTATTATGAGTTGTGGTAAGACAATTTATTTTGTGTCTTGTTGATGCAACACAGTTACACATTTTAAAAGGTCATTCTGACTCAACCATATGTGTTTAGCAACATGAAGTTCCCTCTTCATAAACATATGAACACCAAAGGATAACTCTCATATTTTTTTTTCATGTCAATAGAAAAAATTTGTAATCCAGAAACCCAAACTTCAGCTACAAAAACGCATGAAGTTAACAGAAGGATCAAATGCAAAAACACACTGGATTGAGAATACCTCTCTGTTGAACAGCTACAAACTTGGAAAAGATTTCATCAAAAAGTATGTCAGTCCTCTTGATATGGACACAGAATTCAACTGCAACTCCACCGACACGGGTGTATTGCTCTTTTATTTCAGAGTGCACAGAACTGCTTTTGCTGTTTAAGTCGTCAACTTGATCCATAATTCCAATTTGGTTGCCTAATGCTACTGATATATACGAAAATACTTCCTCTACATATGACAAAAGTAACTCAACCAGGTAGGACTTTATGGCCTCCTGTACAGCAACCAGAGTTCTGGGAAGGTCAACAACACCATGAGCTTGGCCATCATAAATTGTCATTGCCATGTTCAAGGCACCCATCCAATCACCTGCTCTCCTTAAAACTTGAATTCGTTCCTTCCATGGGAGAAGCCGGGAAACAATAAGATGCATAGGTCCAAGTACATATACAGAAGCTCCTCTTACAGCTACACAATTGTGATAAGCTTTTTCAGGATTCCCAAATATATTAACGAAGTGAGTATGATAAGCAATAAGATCGTCCCCTCCAAAACCGTCTACAGAAAAACTTGTTTGGTGAATTACAGTTCCATCCTTTGCAAACAAACAAAGTTGTCCAGTCATCGTAAGAACCACCAGCATCTGAAGCCATAAAACCTCAAATTATGCTCATTCTATTGTGAAGTAAACAAGACTACTCAACCATTTCAAGGGCAGAAAAACATAAATTCAGTATGACAGAAAACGAATAAACAAGAGCATACCTGATCATCCAGCCAAGCCACACCTATGGCTGCACTTTCAAGAGACCATTTACCATATACTTTCAGTTCCGATTTGACCAGCTTTGCCACCTGAACTTTTCGATCCCAAGCAATTGCAAGTAGCGAAACTCTTTCAACTACTTCAGCAGGCATATTTTCTACCCAAAAAAAAACCCCTCATCTTAGGAAGCTGTCAACAGGAAATTTAACAAAGAAAGTCAATCCTTACCAGTATTAGCAGGTAAACGGCGTGATTGCGTTGTACATTTCCAAGCAGTACAAGGCATGGCACCCTCCCGAACCCCATCTGGTTTTGAAAGTTGTGCATAGACTTCCAAATTGGGGGTTAGTCTTACCTGCAACAAAGACATGGCATTAACAAACTGTGAAAGAAAGTCTTTTACAAAGAGGCAAGCATTAATTCCCAAAATAAAAGGTACATGGAGTTCACGCTATCATCTGAGGGCTTCATACCACCAGAGCAGTTTGATGGGTGACAAATACGACCACACCTTCTTCAACCAAAGAAGATCCCTCATTGAAGAGTTTCCAACTTGCATCTCCACCCACCACTCCCCCCATCATACCACCAATACTGCTACCTGTAACTGTCCCATTTCCCTGAGCAGATTGTGAAGCCCCTCCAGAGAATTCATCAAAGAGGAGGGGTGAAGCTGACAGCACTGTGCCCGTTCTTTGTCCATCAAGAAGGCACTGTTCCAATCAACATCCACAAGATCAGCAAGTTTGATAGAATTGCATTGTTGAATATCACACATCAGCTCAAAAGCAAGCAATTTTAAACACAATGCTACAGGAATATATCTAAAAACAATGCAAATAAAAAGGTTTACCTGTGTTTTAATGGAGAACCTATTAAGCAGGGGAACCACAGAGAAAGAATGTAACAGTACCAGACCCTTACTATCACCGGTAACTGCCTTAAATTGACGTGTAACTTGAGAATCCTGCCCCAAAAACAATGTATGTACAACTGGAGCTGTATGTTCTCCAGTAATTACTTTAGCAACCGATGACCTCTGTACATCCCAAACTGTAATGTGACCATCAGCATAACCCGCTAAGAGCAGGTCCCCTTGCTGATTGAAGCATATAGAAGTCACTGCAGCATAAGATCGTTCTCCTTGCAATCCAAGAATTAGCATCTGGAACATATATAGCATAGTTTGTTAACACGTAGTCACCTATCTCTCTATCATAGGAAGTTAAAACTAAAACACAGGAATGGAAGGTAACCTTTGCATCCATGATATCAGCATTATGAGCAGAGTATTTGCTAGGGATAACAAGAATAGCACCTCTTGCCATTCCTATTGCAATGTAATTACTATGAACCGCCAAGACTTGTGGTGAACCATGATCACGCCGTAATGCTGGAGCTGAAAGGGTCCTGGTGATGGGATTGTTAGCATCGACATTGAAGTATCCCAATGTGGTGGAGCCTCTCCGAACACCCTCAAGCCTCATGGGTTGAGCAGCAGCACCTTCTTCCCAATGCAAAGCAGTAGAAGCTTGCTTCTTCTCTAGCTCTTCAGCGATTTCGAGAGGCTTTTGCAATTTCTTTTCAGCTTTTTTACTAATCCTCCTGCTCTCCAACTGCCCAATTCTCTCCTCCACAAGTTGAGTGATTGAACTTCCCAATTCACCATCATCATCACTATCACGATCATTATTATTGTCATCATCACCACCACCACCACCACCACCACCACCCTCACCGTCATTATCATTACCGCCAGCACCACCATCACCAAGACGCTCCTCCTCACCATCACTATGTTTGGAACCATGACTGTTTTCATCTATATCTTGTATTTCTGGTTGACATTCCTCTACAACCTCAACATTATTGTTAAATTCATTATCTTTAACATCATTTGCATCTAAATTTGTCAAATTCTCATCAAAACTAACATTTTTCACTTCTTCCGGAGCATTCCCAGCACTTACTTCAATACCTTGAGACGTTTCCTCTAACTCCCTCTCCCTCTCCCAAACCCTACCTTTTCTCAACAATTCATCACCAAAATCCACTTCTCCTTCATTTGAATTTGACTCAGTCACTTCAGAAGAACTTCCTACATTCGTATCATTATTAGAATTGGACCTTACCTCGGATTTATCATCCAATTCCGTACTCTCCAGAGCCTTCTGGAAAATTCCACTCCCGGCACTCCTCTTCGATTTGATCGCGGCCGCGTGTGGTGTAGGCATCGACCTCGAGGCCGCCGCAGCAGCCGCGAGCGCCGCCCCCGGCTTCGCATTTGTTCTCATGCCTCCAAGCAACCATGGCGACGGCTTCAAAACCTTTCCGACCGGATCGTCCGATAATTCGCCGGACTTGACCCGAGTGTACAAATTGGGCCTCGGCCGGACTTGACTGGACTCGTCGGATTTAGTGCTGGAGACTGATTCGGCGTCGGTGGGCAGATGTTGTGGTTTGGGATCAGATGCGAGGCGATGGATAGTGGAGGGCGGGGACGATGACACGGACAAATCGGAGTCGTTGAGGATTTCGTCGATCGTACGGTGAGGGACAGAATTAAGGTTCTCGTCGTCGTCTTCATCGTAGAGGGAAAGGTGCGAGTTGAGGAAGGAGTCGAGGTCGAATTCCATGGAAAATTTTGGTTCCAATTGAATCAGCTTCTTGGTCATGCTGGTGCAGCCAAGCTGCTGCTGCTACCAGGAGGGGACGCACCAAGAGACAAGAGGGGTCAATTGAATGCTGGCGTTTGGCTGCGGAGGTCGTCGGAGAGCAGTTGCAGAACCCTTGGCCAGCAGCTTGTTGACCCTTGGATGCACTGAACGTGCTCGATGAAAGTCCCCAAAGACAGAGCGAGAGGTTGGTTGATGAGTTACTGCGATGGTAATGGGTGGGTGAGTTTTAATTTTGGACAGAGAGAAGGAAAGGCAAGGTAGAGCAGAAATTTGTGTTGCAACCCAAAGTAGGAAAATCAGGTGCGGACGCACCAAGGGACAAGAGGGGTCAATTGACCCCTTGGGATGCCGGCGTTTGGCTGTGGAAGTCGCAGGAGAGCAGTTGCAGACCCCTTGGCCAGCAGCTTGTTGACCCCTTGGATGCACTGCGATGGTAATGGGTGGGTGAGTTTTAATTTTGGACAGAGAGAAAAAAGGAAAGGCAAGGTAGAGCAGATCAAAAGGAATTTGTGTTGCAACCCAAGAAGAGAGTTCGACTGGAGAGAGGAAAAAACAGTGTATCTGTGATTCGTGCTGTGTCGTGACTAGTGAGCTAGTCCTCCCTTTTTTTTTCTTTTTTTTTGGTTCTTCTTCTTCTAAAGGCCTATTTTACTTTAAAAACAACATAAAAATATAATATAATATAGCAGACATGCTATATTATATGTAGTATTTTTTTTATACAAATTTATAAATAAACCAAATCCTAAATATGTATTTATAAAAAAACTCAAACACTATTTAAACATAAAAACACATCTAAAATTAACCCCAAAGTCAAACAATTGTATATTTTTTGGGTGTGTTTATAAATGGGTTTTGAGTGTGTGTAATGATGGGTTTTGAGTGTGTTTATAATGTATTTTGGGTGTTGGATTTTTTTATAATTTCAGCTCCCATTTTGAGTGTTTTAGTGAAACTCCCTTTTTTTATTTTAAAAAAGAAAATGAGAGGTTTTTTTTGTTTTAATTTTCTTTTTCAAAGTGGGGGGTTGGGTTTGTTTCATTTAATTTTTTTTTAAAAAAGATAATTGTAGTCTCTATACATTATAATTTTATTCTTTATAAAAAATAATATTCTTTTTTAGATGAGACATAAACAAAAGTGCCTAAAATTATTAAAAAATAAATGATTTATGAAACTATAATGCAAAGTTTTAAAAGAGAACTCGTCATGTACAATTGAAATTTGGGTGGAAATTATTTTTCTGTTTTTCTAGTGTTATTTTCTTTTAAAAAAATTTCTAAGTTTTTACACTCTGACCCTTGGCCCGAGAATCCTGGATCCGCCACTGTTTCCAATAGTTTTTATTAGCTGGAAAAGAGGAAAGTTATCAGCTTGATGACTGTTGTTTCAGGTTTGGGGAAAAACTGCATCCAAAATCTACGGACCCATTGCTGGAGAGGATTTCAAGGACAACCAACTTAGATTCAGCCTGCTATGCCAGGTTAGTAATCTCCATCTTCTGGGTTGCTTCCTTTTTTTTCTTTTTTTTTCATTTAATGAGATAGGGGGACAAAACCCCAAAAAGAAACGACAACTAACTAATACAGATCAAGCGCTGCCTAACGTTTGGGTTGCTTTTTCTATTCAAGTTAAGCCCCTGGAAATTATTCTGTAAATTAAGTCTTAGATCAAATATGCACTTAGTTTCCATGTAATCTTCATTTGTACATCAGTCGGTCCTTGCATCGTATATTCTTATATCCTTGCATCAGTCTAGCTGTATTTACTGATTCTTCTCTTTTTTTTTGACCCCCAACAATTTTATGCTTATATTCTCATGATTGTATAAATTGTATGTTTTAGGCAGCTCTAGAAGCACCAAGAGTTCTGAACCTTAACAGCAGCAAATATTTTTTGGGGACCATATGGTAGGCAATCTAATCTGCAGTTCTCCAAACCAACACTACTGTTTAAAATATTTGTTACATTGGTACTATGGCATTTCTGCACGCAGGAGAAGAAGTCGTTTTCATTGCCAACGACTGGCACACTGCCCTCCTCCCATGCTACCTGAAAGCCATATACCAACCTAAAGGCATATACAAGAGTGCTAAAGTAGGTGACCAGTTCATTTTTTTTGAAACTAATAAGTATTCCAGTCAGCTGTGAGTCCTTAAAAACCAGTTATTTTGCCAATCTTGTTGACAGGTAGCCTTTTGCATTCACAACGTTGCTTACCAAGGCAGATTCGCATTTGCGGACTTCGCACTTCTCAATCTACCAGATGAATTCAAAAGCTCCTTTGATTTCATTGATGGGTAGGGTTTCTTTGTACAGAATATAGCATAGACTGCATACTATTATATGATTGAGCCTTGAGTATGATTGGTCCAATTCCACAGCTATTACAAGCCAGTGAAGGGGAGGAAAATTAACTGGATGAAAGCTGGAATTTTAGAATCAGACAAGGTCTTGACTGTTAGCCCATACTATGCTGAAGAACTAGTTTCTACAGTTGAAAAAGGAGTCGAATTGGACAACATTATTCGGAAAGCTGGAATTCTTGGAATTGTGAATGGCATGGACGTCCAGGAGTGGAATCCATTAACTGACAAGTATATAGCTGCCAAATATGATGCTTCAACTGTAAGAACATTAGTTATCATGCATTAACTTCCATGACCAGCAAGCACTCTGTATAACTTCTTTGATTTTAAGATGCAATATCGTTTGAAAAATTTGGCTTTGCTTAGGTGACTGATGCAAAGCCTCTGTTGAAAGAAGCCCTCCAAGCAGAAGTGGTATTGCCAGTGGACAGAGACATCCCTGTCATAGGTTTCATTGGTAGGCTTGAAGTGCAGAAAGGTTCAGATATTCTGATAGAAGCCATTCCCCATTTTATCAAAGAGAATGTTCAGATCATAGTCCTCGTAAGTACTGAACATGGAAGTTGTTTCTCTCATTTTCTTGCATAATGCTTGTTGTATCACTAAAACCAACCTGTATACTATCCTCATGTGCATTCTGCAATTTCCTCAGGGGACTGGCAAAAAGCCGATGGAGAAGCAGCTTGAACAGTTGGAGATAAAATACCCTGACAAAGCCCGGGGAGTAGCAAAGTTCAATGTTCCTCTGGCCCGTATGATAACAGCCGGAGCTGATTTTATGTTGGTTCCAAGCAGATTTGAGCCTTCATTCAGTTGCATGCCATGCGTTACGGAACTGTAAGATGCCTGCCTCCAACAATTTCTTCCTTCCAAAATCTTCATCTTCTTGCAATAATACTAACTCACTGCTGTGCTTGTGCTTGTGCAGGTGCCAATTGTTGCCTCAACTGGTGGGCTGGTAGACACTGTTAAAGAAGGATTCACTGGATTTCAAATGGGAGGTTTCAATGTGGAAGTAAATAAATCGATTTCAACCCTTTTTTTCTGTACACAAGAACTTCTCTACTTTTGTGTGAATTCAAGTTTCCAAAATTTCCTTTCAGTGTGAAGTTGTTGATCCTGCAGATGTACAAGCGATTGCAACTACTGTCACAAGAGCCCTTGGAACTTATGGAACCCCAGCTTTTACTGAGATCATAGGCAACTGCATGGCTCAAGATTTATCATGGAAGGTAAAAAACCTTTCTTAACATGATAATCCTTTTAACAATGAATCACATTCGCATATTCTTGAACCAGTTGAATCGTAATGGCACAGGGGCCTGCCAAGAAGTGGGAGGAAGTGCTGCTAAATTTGGGTGTTGCTGACAGCGAACCCGGGATCGATGGTGAGGAAATTGCACCACTCGCCAAGGAAAACATCGCAACGCCATGAAAGACGCAAGTTCAACCTGCAGTTGATCAGTTTTGTGAACTAACATAAAAGAAATTTACTGCACACCCAAAACAGACCGCCTTGTGTGCATCATATGAATGTAAAAATTCTCGACCAAAATAAGTGAAACCTTCTGTTCAATCTTGTTCATAGGCCAATTGTGAAGACCCTCGGTGATGGTTGATTTAAAAAAAAGAAAAAAAAGAGAGCGGCCTAGTAGGGCAAACGAAATCAGTAGAAGATTGATAAGCGCTTGTGCCATTTTCTTTTCTTCCAATGATGATAAAATCCTGCCCATGTAACCAAGCTCTCATTTTAAAATGAGCAAAATGAAAGTAGCATCCTCACCACTCACCCCAACAACCCTTCTGCACCAGAGAGAAGCATTCACCTCACAATCTCTTCTTCAATCTCAAAGGTTGCTCCAAACAGAAGGCAAAAGAAGTTCCTTTTCTAAAAAATATTAATGGCATTACTCAGTGACCAAACAAGATCTCAGTGATCAAACAAGACCCAGGTTCGCAATCGATGCCAAGAAACTCAGACAGTTATACCATCATCCGACACCAAACAAGCATAACACATCGAACAAAAGAAATTTCAAAAACCATTGCAAACCATTCAAATTAAGATTAAATGGGGGACATACTTTTATATCCAGAAGCTCAAAATGAGATTGTTCAAAATTATAGTGCTCAGCAGGAAACCCCAGACTCTGAACAATTTGTCCATCCGAAATACATAACAAAAAGCCAAAAATAAAGAAAGCCCTACTACATTGATAAGGTTAACTAGTCTCAAAGTACTAAAAACCAGCAAACTGAAAAGTGGACTATATCTTGTTTGGAGGAAGCTCCTAATCAAACAAGCTGAATCCCATATCGTCATCACTTTCTTCCTTGGGTTCCTCCTGTAAAATCAAATTAGAAAACAACAAAACGAAAATAACAAATCAGATAACCACTAAACGATCAATAGAAACGCAATTGATGAAAAAACAATATGATGATGCAAACCTTCTTCTCCTCTGCTGCGGGGGCAGCAGCAGGGGCAGCGGCACCTGCACCTGGGGCGGCAACAGCAACTGCACCGCCACCCCCTCCGGCACCGACATTCAGAATAAGGTCCTCAATGTTTCGCTTCTCGGCGAGCTTAGCGAACAATCCAGGCCAGTAGGACTCAACTGTGACATTGGCAGCTTTCACCAATGTTGCAATCTTCTCAGCCTATTACAAACCAATTAAGGAGAACCACAGCTTCCCAAAACAACATTTCTACCCTTAACACAAGTGATTCAAACAAAATCAAACCCATATTAATTTAACACATAATAAGACTAAACATGAACACACACATAAAACTTTTATTTTTTCCAGCTTAAAATGTTAAATATGAGAGGAAGCTAAACACAAATACATAAAAACAGTAATATGCGAAGGATACAGTGATGGGGATGCCATCGTCATGGAGGACTAGGGCAGCGTAAGTGCAAGCAAGCTCTGAGACTGACATCGTTTTTCACTATAAACAATAAACAACACCCAAAATTATTTCTTTTGTCATGAAAATTGAATATTGTTATTCATCAGATTTAACAGTGGGTTCCAGTTGAAGGTAGAGGGCGGTACAGAGGGAGGGAAGTACAGAGAGAGGGAGAGAGTTACCTGAGAGAGATGAGATCTGAGATGGACGGGTTTCTCTCTGAGCTTAGAGTGCTGCGCGGCTGCAAAACCTCGACACTTCTCTTCTAGGGTTCCTGATTTTCTAGTGAGGCAGGGAACCCCTGCAATAAACCCCTGCATAAAAGACCTCTCATTATAGCCCGATCTGATTTTTAAGCGGGAAGAGACATTTTTGGGTTTAGGGGCATGATTCATAATTCAAGTTTGGGCTTAGCAATAGAAGACACTTGTGAAAAGATAAAGAGGTGTCAAATGGCCAGTTCACTAAAAAAAGTACGGTTCATGCGCTCGGTCACCCTATTCTGTTGCGGTGTTTCTCTAACTGTGAAATGCCTCACAATACCCTTATATTGACAAACTTTCAAGAAAGAATCAAACTTATATCTGTCACCATTGTCTGATTTGAGCGTCTTGATCTTTCGACCACTTTGCGTTTCAATCATCTTTTTCCACTTTAGGAATATCTTCAAAACTTCATCTTTACGCTTCATGGTGTACACACATATTCTTCTAGAGAAGTTATCAACAAAGGAGACAAAATAATGGCTACCTTCCCAATATACATTCTTGGAAGGTCCCCAAACATTAGTGTGAACATAATTTAGAATGCTTTTAGTGTGGTGAATAGCAGTGCAAAATTTTACCCTAGTTGGTCACCCAGCACAAAGTGTTCACAAAATTCCAATTTGCATGCCTCCACACCTTTCAATTCCCCGATTCCCAGATTTCTTTTCCTTTGTTCGACTCTTTGCAACGAGTGCCTTGGTTTGCAATTTTGAATCTTGTGTTCCATTTTACGGCACTCATGATTCATCAATGCTGCAGCCACCTCATCAAGTTTCACCTTGGATTTTCCATACAAAAAATTAGTTGTCAAATGATCATAATCATCAGGCCTTATATAAACATAGTGCCTTATACAAAAAAAAGTTTCCTTCATATATGGGTATTTCAACTCCTTATCAAGAAATGATCGAATAGAGACACAAGCATGAAGATTAATTCTCCTTAACAGGTTCATCTTTATCTCCAACCATCAAATCGATTCGGCACTATTCACAAATACTGTAGCATAGTAAATTTTTTCACTCATACGAAACCCTAGTCAAAACTGGAGCTTTGATACCACTTATTGTGAGGAATGGTCAACCAACTGTGAGTGAAAATAAACAACTGGCAAGAGATAAAAGGTTTAAAACAACACCAAAAAGAACACTAAGATTTATACTTGTTGGGCCTTGCCTACATCCAGTTTGGAGACAACACAGTAATTCACTATAAACAAATAGTAGTCCACTATAAACAAATGATAGAGTGTTTAACACTCAGAAACACGAGCCCCAAATATACACAACAACTTGGCAAGAGATAAAAGGTTTTAAAACAACACCAACAAGAATACCAAGATTTATACTTGTTGGGCCTTGTCTACATCCAATTTGGAGAGGATCTTAAATATTGTCAGATTGTGAATTTGAACGATTGATCAAGTTAATTCTTAATTGGAAGATATACAAAAAGAAGTACTGCTTTCTTACAACTATTGAAGATGCCATACGTTGATGTATAATGATAATATGTTTCTCTTTTTCTTTTTTAAACCAAGGTCTCTAATGTTGTGGGAGGAGCAGCAACAGAGGAAGAGGGATGGGCGGTGTGCCACATATTCATCAAGAAATAAAGGAGAATGAAAGCCTTAAACAATCCTAGCAATTCGTCCCCCAACTATCCCATTTGCAACCAGCTGAAGATTGGCGCCCCTGATCATAACTCCTAGCATCAAATCTCAGGGCTCACCAGTTGGGCAGCCTTTGATCGCCTAATTTATTCCCAACTCGATGGCCACACATCATCTCCCACCAATTGCCACACTAGGAAGCCTTTAAGATCACTTATCTTAATTACCATGCTACCGTATGTGCAAGAACTGACTTGTGTGTGATGTATGTACATACATATATGTATGCATACAACAAAGGTATGCAGTGGCGGATCTAGGAATTTTTCAGGGAAGGGGCAATGTTAAAAGGCTAAAACATCCGACAAAATAATAATAATAACCAAATAGCCTTACAATTTAAACAACACTAATATTATCCATAATTAAAATAAATAAGAGTTTTACGTCTAAGCCTAATTGACTATAATCTATTTTCTATATAAATTAAATGCACAAAGTTCATGTTACACAATTATTTACCAAAATTAATATCAAATATGAACAAAATGCATGTCAATTACACAATTAGTCTATCAAAATTCATATGAAATCATCCATTAATCTAACCAAAATCAATACCAATTAATCTAACCCAAAGTACATGTGATTTGGAGGTCACAAGATAAAAGTAGATGTGATTATGAGTTTGGTGTATTTTTCGGTGAATTTTTTGGAGAACATATGAATTTTTAATGAATTTTTAAATTTGGTCTAATTAAAATTTGACACATGGCGCCCTGATAGTAGACCACATTAAAAGGAATGCAAGTTGAGAAGCACAGGATTCTAACTACAAACACAAGTCATCTTCTTCTTCGGCTGGTTGTGTCTGCAACTCAAGTGAAAATTTTTCAAAATCTATAACTTTGGTTGTGGAGGTCCAATTGATGAACCGTTTTCTCCTACGTGATCGTGAGATCGAGCTCAACAATCTAAGGTAAATATTCAGGGTCTCACACAGCAGCAACAAAACAGCCTCTTTGAGGCTTTTAATCGAACACTTGGAGGGCACAAGCAAAGGGGCAAATTCCTGCATCTCCAACGCATTTTCCTGCGAGAGGAGGTGCACCTGCACCTCCTTGCGCCTCTGTAGATCCGCCACTGAAGGTATGTCGTCACCTGAATCTTGAAATATGACTTAAATGTTGGATTTATCGAGTCAAAATGTGAACTTTGTTATTTTTACAATATTACTATAAAGAACTATAAAATTTCCATTTGCCCAATCAAATCTGTTAAGCAATTCATAAACCATAGTAAACACCTTTTTTGTTGAGTGATGCTAAATGAACCCTAAAATTAACTGAGTACACCCTATAATCTAAGTATACTAGCACAACTACTACAACAACGAGAACAAGAAGCAAAAGAAGCCAAAGTTGAACTTGATGACAGACGTCCTACCCATGGAAATTCTTATTGACATCTTTTCGAGACTGCCTGTAAATTTGATTTGTTGCATCAAATGTGTATCCAAAGCCTTGTTAAAGACGGTGGACGACCCTTTTTTGCCATACAACACATGCGGTGTGGTTTTCTTACTAGTTGTACCACCATTGAAGTTCCTCGATTGGTTCTTAGTACTGACTCCCCTGACTGTAGGATGCAATGATTGCAATGAGTTATTGACAAAGAGCAAACATGAAATTGTTTCTGAATTCTGGACCAGACAGTGTTTGTATGTGCACAATTTTGTTTTCTGCAACTTGTTAGGCTTTACTTGCCATGGTGTTGATTATAAGAATGGAAACACATGCTTGTTGTTGAATCCTTTCAAGGGAGAAATTCTAATGCTCCCAACAACGAGTGACGTACTTCAAGTTTCAGCCAACACTATCTCCCGACAAGATTCTTACGGCATGGGATTTGATAATAAAACAAACACCTACAAGATTGTTCGTATTTCGTACCATCATAAGTACAGAAAGGGCCAACTGAGCGAACTGACGGCCGAAGTGCTTGTATTGGGGACAAGCTCATGGCAGGAGTTACCTGTAGTTCCTCCCTGCTATGTAATCAACAAGTCGGCATCTACACATGGAGACATGCATTGGTTGGTTAATGGAGATACAAAAGACTTATCTTCCTCGTCTATACGTATACTTTCTTTCGACTTCAAGAAAAAGGAGTTCTATTGGACTCCTCATCCCGCTGCCTTAGAGAAAAAGCCAAGTCTTTAGAATTTTCTTCACGTGCTTAATTTCAAGGGATCTTTGCCCCTGGTGGAATTTTCTTCATCAGAAGATAAATATATGAAGATATGGGCATTGAAAAATAATTATGGTAACAAAGAATGGGTGCTAAATTACAAAATAGATGTAGAACAATATATTCTTTCTCTTCCTCTTGGGAATCTTAGTCTCTCTGAGTGTGGCGAATGGGAGCATGACATATTTTTCAACCAACAGAATTATGATAGTAACAGTATATTCTTTGTGGATATAACACGTATTTCCATGAAGACTATACTACTCAAAGGTCCAATGTATACTATGGAAGTTTTTAGTTGTACTGACAGCATGATTTCTCTAAAGAATTATGGAGATTTGGTTGAACCGCAAGAAGAACAAGAAGGTGTTATTGAATGCCTCATGTCTCAAGAAACTAATGAGAATCTGACTAAGGCTAAAGAACCAAATGGGAGAGATTTTGTTTACTTGAGAACACAAACAGAGCCAGCATGTGTTTCTGACTCGGAAACTAAGTTAACCACGTGGGAACGATACACATATTTCTTATCCGAGGAGGAGAGTGAATGAGAAATAAAATAAAGTGTCTGAACAATAATGTACCTATCTTTACTAATGCAATTAACCATTAACACATGCAGTTAATTATCTTCCAGTTTTCCCCTCATTCATTTTCTGGGTGATTAACCCCAATGATTTATAAAGTGTCATCTTGATTAAGGATATGTGGAACAATATTATATAAAATTGAGTTGAAAAGTTTAATTTTGTATGCATTCTAGTTCAAACCTTATTTTATATAAATCTCAAGGGACTCTATAATTTAGAAACAAAAAATATAGCTAAGGCCCTGTGTTCCTGGATTCGGGTATAAATAAATCATATCGCATTAGCTAGTCGTTACGCAGCCTTTCAAATTGCACCCCCAACAACCAGAGGGAACCAAAAACTAAAATACAAGAGCAAGATCAAAAAAACCATAAAATACTTAAACATTTGTAAAATATAAATTAAAACTGACACGTTGCTAAATCATAATTAATATATATATATATATATTTTAGGATTAATATTGTTGCTCTGCTCACCCAATCATTCTGAACTAGCTAAGAATAATTACTGTTTCCCATTTTGGATTGTCAGGTTTCAATCCAATTTTTTACAAAAAAAAATAAAATTTATATGGGGTTTATTATCAAATAAGTCATTAATTTCTAATCTACAAGTAATTAACTAGTTAATTATATACTTAGGTGTTCAAGCACTGTCAACTACTAATTAAAACTATTAATTTATTGTTGATGGCAGTAATATTTCTAATCGATCACCTGAATCGCACCATCTGAACATATTTATCAAAATGGATATTAATATTGGGGTCTTTGGGTTTCGGTGCAACAACATGTATTTCTCTAATCCCACGATCTCACTCACTTGATATATATAAATTTGTGTAATCTAAAGCTCATATGATATATCCAATATCCGCAAACAAGACAGAAGTGAATATACCGATTTCACCTTGATGTGCCGAGGTTTTTGTTTCTGGGATGGAAACTCCTTTGTTTTTTATGTTTTTATTGTTTGAGGATGATTTGAAGTGTTAATGTTCTCCTGGTTAAGTAATTAGTTGTTTTTGGCCAGTAAGAGGGCGATTATATTCATAGTGTGTTTAATAATTAGGAATCGAATTTCAATTATGGAAGATTTCTATGTTTACTTCACATCAAAAAATTAAGAAGTAAGTGGGGACTACACAAAATTAGGAATTGAAAGCTTGATTTTAGAGGAATTTAATTCTTGAGTGGGAGGTGGTATTCTAATTCATGGTGAACTATAACCCATTAGAATTATATACAAACAATGGCAAGACATATGAAAACATCTTTCACATCCTCAACGATCAACTTGACGTATAAATTTTTATAAGAGCAAGACAAAAATACAATCGTACATGCATGCAATTAAATAATTTACTGGATGAACGTGTAATACATGCATGCAATTTGAAAACGATTATTTATTTTCTCATCTCCTCCCCACCACCCCAACCGCCCCCAGAAATAATAATAATGAAAAGAAAAATAGAAAATTAGAGTCTTATTAACATAGATCACATCTTCGGTTTGTGAGTTTCTATCATGGGTTTAATTTCTAGCAACTTGAGGAAAGAAAATCTGACCCCAAAGGCATCTCACTCTTTCAAACTCTATTATGTCATGATTTGGACAAATGACATCTTCTCTACTACAATACAACTTATGTATAGAATGATTCTCTCACAAATTCATCGGTAACCTAGGCTAAAATACCCTTCATGATATCAGAACTGTTTGGATACAGTCGCACCATAATCCCTAAACATTAACAAAAATAAAATAATAATAAATAAATCATAAGACGCATCGTACTATTCCATGGGAAAAAATGAAGACCCTTCCTCTCTTCCATATCTTCATCTCTTCCATGTATGCTCCATCATCGAAATCCTTTGTTGCTTTGAAAAGAGAATTCTCAGATCCTGCTATCTCATTTCACCTCGATCTTTCTGCTTTGTAGTGTTAGGATTTAAGTTGGGAGGAGTTAATCCAACAAGCCAAGAAATAGGAAGTCAAGGCCCTGCTCCAAGTCAAGACGTGAGCAAAACCCATATAGCAAACGAAGACGCTAGTACTCGATCATTGTGAAGAAGTTGCTCTAGTTTGATTTTTTGGTTTAAGTTAGGATTGACCTTTATTTATTTATTTATTTATTATTATTTTTTTCGGTGATTGGAATTTGGAAACATATTGGAGAAGGCATGGAAGAGATGGAGAGGATGAAGGAAAGCGTTCGTCTTGTTTTCCTTGGGGCAAGCGTACAATGCGTGTGCGATGGGTTGGTTTTTTTCTTTTGACTATTTTATTTGTAGTACAATATTGGGGATTAGGGTACAATTTTATCCAAATAGTATTCTAATACCATGAAGGGTATTTTAGTCTATGCAGAAGTATTGTTATATTAGGTTTTAGGTTCTTTTGGAATTTTGGAGTTATGTGAAACCAATTTGAAATATAAGGGGGTGTTTGTGTAATTTTTAGGACCTTAAGGAGTTTTGTGAGAACACGAAAAACCTTAGTGGGGGGTTAGGATAAATAAATCCCCGAATTTTCACCTATTCCTTTAAATTCTATTGTACTTTGACCATACCACGGTGACAAAAATTTTGAAATTTAGTAGCCAACTATTTATAGGCTACAGTATGGCTCATGACACGAGTGCATATGCGCAAATTGATCTCTAATCGAACTTGAGGCTCAACTTCAATGACCCAAATTGTCTATTTGTTATAATCTCATAAAACATCATCCTAACCAAAAAATAATCAATCAAATTGGAAATTATTTAATTATTTAGTTATGGTCAAATAAAGAAACCAACACAATTATGAAAAGTTGAAAAAATAAAAAAATTGGATGATAATCAAGAACAGAGTCTGTGACGAGAGAGAGGAGGTTATTGTTGTAACCATGCTTAGATGGGTTAGAAATCATCAGTAGTTTTTTTTTTTTTTTTTTTTTTTTTTTTTTTTTTTTTTTTTTTTTTTTGGTGTATAATATCATTTATATATATTATCATCAATCAAGGTGAAGAACGAATAACCATTTACAAAAGCACAAGTCTAAAATACAAAGGAGCAATAAAAAACCAGAAGCCTGTGACGATGCGAAAGCAAGCAAAAGTGAAAATTAAAAGGAGAAAATTAAATACATAAATACATAAGAACTGAAAATTAAAAGAAGAAAGGAAAAGAAAGAACTCGTTGGCAACTTTCTCCTCTTACGCGGTTGATCTTCTTAGGACGTGAATCTCTTGTATGAGGGCCTTAGCTAGACTTTTATATGACTTATATCAGATTCCTAAACCCTAAAATTGACTGAAAAGTCATCCAAGAAGTCTTGGTAAACAAGGAATCCAAATAGGAAAGTAAAGATCACAATTCCTAACTCCACAGGGAAATACAGCTCAGCCCAATTTTCACACGATTTGGGGATTTTGGGACTTTTGGAAAAATCAGTAAAAATATATTTTAGAAAGATAAATGTCTTATCTTTCCAACCATATATAGCACGTAACTTGGAAATTTGGGAAGGCTTCCGTTTCTTCACATTCACATAACATGTATGAAACTGTCTTGCTTGCATGTGGGCTAACTTTACTTGTAATAGTGTACCAATTGGCTTGGTAGAAAATTCTAGAAAACCCATAGATTGAACTTCAAGATGTTAGCTTTCATCTCCAATTGGCCTTGCGCTAAAATTCCTCCGAAAATTTAATTTTCCCTTAAAAACCTCCTAAGAGCGCAAAAAAGCTGAAAATCAGAAAAATAAAGTAATAAGCCATTTTTTAATCTAATTCTCCTACAAAACCTAAGTTAAAAAAGTACATAAATGAGTATATTTATGGACTTATCAAGTACAGCTCTAGTCATGGGGTCATGATTCATGAATTGTGGTTTCCTTGATGGCCTTTCTTAGTTCCTCACAAATCTCAATTAGTTGTAATGTTTGGAGAAAAGAATAATAATATATGTACCGACAGGACATGAATAAGAGGGATATAACTTGTTGTATCTTCTTTTGTATATCTTTCTTTTTATGTGTTTATTTCTCTTCTCACATGATATGTCACGTGAGAAGAGAGATGGACACAAAAAGACATACACCACATTGCAGATAACTTAACAAAAGGGAGGAAAGAGCCAAAAAAAATGGCCATACATATGTGCAATTTCACAAGAGAATTTGTCGGTCATTATTTGATATAGAGCAAAAAAAAGAATTTTTTATTTATTTATAGCAAATTAGTGTTTGGACTTTTATTTGTTGGGCCAAGGTAAGTAACAGAAAAATTTGGCCCAAGGCCCAAACAACATAAAACGAACTCAAAATAACAGAAAAAGTATTGAATGCCCATACAATTCTGGCGTGGTGGATTCCTTTTTCTCTCAG